CTGCCTCAGGGCCTTTGCACCTGCTACTACTGCCTGAACCACTGCCCCGCCCCCCCCAAGATATACACACAGCTCACTCCCTCCCTCACCTTCCTCCCATCTTTGCTGAAATGTCAGCAAGGCTTTCCAACCACCCTGTTTAAAATTGACCTCTCCCCGACCCAGCTCTCCACATCCCCAACTCTGCTTTGGTTTCCTCCACAATGCTTGTCTATTTTTAACATATTTGCCAATTTCTATGTTTATTACTTGCCCACTCCCTCTAAAATATAAGTTCCAAGAGAGGAGGAAATTATATTATTTTTACTTCTGTGTCTCCAGCACCTAGAAAGGTCCCTAACTTCAATAAACACTTGCTGTTGAGATGACCCGGAGCACTTGGCAACACCCCGAGGGGACAGAACCAGAACACACTGCCTCTCAACCCACTGTTCAACCATATGCTCAGCCCCAGACACCGCCTTCCAGCACACCAACTAGCACCACATACTGACCCACAACAGCCTGCCGTGTGGACCGAACCACATTCACCAGAACACTCTGTCCTGAAGCTCACACACCCCTTCAGTACAGCCTTTGCCATCCCACACGGCAACCACAACAGGATCTGCCATTCAGCCCGTGGGCTGGCAGCACCCCCCTGGACCATGTTCTAGTCCCAGCCATGCCGAGCATTGTCCCTGGTCCAGCAGCATCCCAGTGCATGTGAAAATTAATGCAGGAGACAAAGACCCCATGCTCTGGTGCATACCCCTAAAGAATCCCGTACGTTCCTCTGCACAGAGCATCGCAGCCTCGTATTTTATAGCCTTTCATGGATTCATTCATTTATTCAGGAAAAATCATTAAGCGCCTGCTAGGTGCTAAGCCTTCTGCTAAGCACTGGGGATCAACACTGACAAAGATAGTCACAACCTTTCAATCTAGTCAAGAAGACAGACATTGCACCGAACAAGCAATTACAATGAAGTATGATGAGTTTGTTGATAGGACACTAGTGGATGATCCATCCCCAGGAATCAGGAAGAGTCTGGGCGAGGGGGAAGGAGCAAGGCACTGCAAGGGATGGGGGCTGGAGGCAGGCGTAGCACGGGGAAGGGTATGGACATCGCAGGTGGATGGCTGTGCCCGGACACAGCCGGGAAGGGACGAGGGACGCCCTGCGTGTTTGAGGAACCGCAAGCAGCTCAGAAATGCATGCTCTTGGAGGGCAGGAGCCGAAGCTGGGGAGGGGCAGATGCTGGACCCTGGAAGACCCCATGCTCAGGAACAGTCGGCATTATTCTGGAGGTAGCACAGAGCCACCAGGGAAGCTTTAAGCAAGAGGGACGCCATCAGATGCACATGTAGAAGATATTACTCAGGTACATTACAGTGCACCAAAGCTCGTGGATCTCCGTTGTTGGGAACAATGCTCTGCAACCAGCTCCTTGCCATAACAAAAGCCGGCACTGAGAACAACTGAAGAGCTCATGTTAATGAATCTCCAATAATTGCACCCTTCACTGATGTTTGAATCGAATCCTCTGTTCCTGCCCTGTGTTTCTTCACCTGCTGCACTCTATTTAAGATTTTATGTATTTGACAGAGAGAGACACAGTGAGAGAGGGAACACAAGCAGGAGGAGTGGGAGAGGGAGAAGCAGACTCCCCACCGAGCAGGAAGCCCGATGTGGGGCTCGATCCCAGGACCCTGGGACCATGACTTGAGCCGAAGGCAGACACTTAACGACTGAGCCACCCAGGCGCCCCCATGATTATTATTTCTAATTCAGTCTCAGGGACCAAGGACAGTGCCTGCTTCCCCTCATTACTGGCGGCAGAACATCTTGAAGAATATAGCCCAGTCCAATCACTGTACTTGGAAAGTCACGGTTAAACCCAGGAGAGGGAATTCAAGATGTTGGCTGGTTGGAAATCCTATCAAATGCAGAAGAGTCAAAGGATCCTCTTGATCGTTACTAATTATTGTGATATTTTTATATTATCTAGGATAAGAATAGCTACTTTTTCCTGAGTATATTCTAGGAGCCAGGCACTGGCTAGATCTTTAATATTCATTATCCTTCAGCCCGGAAGTTCCAAAATATTTACCCAGTTGGAATGGACTCAGTGGTAAATAACCAGTACTAACAGGAACCGGGTGAATGTCAATCTGACTTTGAGTAATCACTACCCCAAAGACTATAAACTGAGTCCATGGGCCACATATGACTTGTGGATGTATTTAATTTGGCCTGAACTGTGTTTAATTTTTAAAAATTTGTTGCTGATACATCAAAAGATAGTGAGATCTCATACAAAAATCCTGATGAGGATGTGGGAACGAAGAGCCTGCCTCCCTGCAGGACAAACCTGGCCAGCCCGGTGCTTGGTTTGTAGAAGATGCTCAGAAAAGGTACCTGTTCTTATGGACGATGTAAAAAATATTACAATAATTAGTAACGGTCAACAGGGTTCTACAACTGTGCAGGTGGAGATGAGAACCCAGGTCCCCAGTCTGCCTCTGTCCCCAGCCACCCCCTCTCCTATTTACATTACCTGCCTGGCTTCTAAGGCACCTGAGCCTCTGACCTGTTCCCAGAAGCCACCACCCATTGCCCAGACTAGGCGAGAACCAATGTCTTCCTGGAGGGCCCCACCCCCAGGGTTTCTGAGTCAGAGTTTCTGAGGAGGGGCCTGAGCATTTGGGTCCTCAAATTCCCAGGGGATACTGCTGGTCTGGGGACCACACTTTGAAAACCACTGGTCTACAACTAAAGAATGAACCTTCCCTAGAATGGCACGGGGTTCAACGCTGCTGGAGATAGTGGGTATCTGCATCCCTCCTCTGGCCAAGTGAGGAGTGGGGGGGAGGTACACATTTTGAGACCTCATATATTAATAGCCCCACAAAACCTAAGTCAGTTTTGTGTCCCATCTCTGAGTTCCCAGTTTCCTGAACAGAGAACTTGTTCTTGTCTCCCAGGCTGCCATTTTGATCCTTTTCCAAATAGTTCATTAAAAGTGATGATACTGCTTAGCACATGCAGTGTCCCTCTCTGACCCCAAGTGCACACAGGGACATCATCTTAAGGAACAGCATCAGCAGGACTCAACACACTGTTCAACCCCTCAAAGACCCTGCACCCAAGACATTGATCAACATGTGACATGGCTAACAAAAATAATGATCAACTCTCCTAGAGCGCCAACTACGTGCTGGGCCTGCACTGAACGCTTCATGCATCATGACGATCCTCTGATGCAGGAACAATTAATGTTGCTGTAGCACAGAGGATGGAACAGAAGAGCAAAGAAGTGAACAGACTTGTCCAAGTTCACCAGCTCTACAACGATCAAGAGATTGTGGGTGGGACCCACTGTATTCACTTGAGGGTCAGACACTATTAGAAATATTGTGCTCAATTCTGTGTCTGTATTTTAAGATGGAAGCTGATGGCCTGGAAGACACTAGGCATTTGGAGGGGACGTCATTTGGGACGTGCTTGCAGGTGGAAGGTGTGTGTGGGTGTGTGTGTGTGTGGGGGGGATGTTTGGCCTGGAAATCACGGGATTCAGGAGTGTAATCTGCAAATGTCCGAAGGATGCACTGTAGAGAAAGAGGCTCTGGATGACAAGACGGGCCAGAGGGATGGCAGTTCTGGGGAAGCTGATTAGACACCAATGTGTACGTTTGCAATAGCTAGAAGGACTGCAACTGCCTGCCTCTAAATAACCTCGCTTTCTAACCCCAGGGAGCATCCAGAGAGACGCAGGAGGCATCGGGGATGCTGTGAAGGCGGGATGCTAATGGTGTGGGATGGCGGGGAAGGTGCAGCACCAGGGAGATGTAAGAACCACCTGGGGGACTTTCTTCAGCTTATGTGCCCTTTGCCCCCTGGGCATTCTGATCCGCCTTGAACGGAGTCAGACTGTGTGAGGTCTGAATCCCCACTTCATCACACCCTGGCTGAGTGACCCTGGACAGAGCACTTAACCTCTCTGAGCCTCCCCACCCTCTTGCAGTACATGGAAAAACAGCACCTCCTCAATAGCTCATTGTGAGGATCTCATCAGATGCCACACGCAGCATGCTTTATGTGGTGCCTGGCACATAATAAGGGGCCAAGAAATTCCTAATATCAAAATAACTACCATTATCATCACAGAGCTCACAATGTCGGGTTTCGATGACAAGGTTTATGCTTTAGCCTCAGTAGCCAGCTTCACAGCTCATCATAAAGTAATGGGGTCTCCCTTTTTCTTAATCTAACCAAGAAATAGCCCGTCTGGGGAATTGAAGTTCAGATTAATTCAGTGCAAACTCTCCCCCCCCACCCTCCAGTGCTGACATGACAAGGACTCCCAGCCGAGTCTTTGGGGAAGGAGAACCCTCCTGTGGGTGCATGACTGTGGGAGACGGGAGGCTTTTATTCTTGTCCTAGAGACGTTACCTCAAAGCCGTGTCAGCACTCAGAGCCTCCAAGAGGTCTAGGAGCATGTCAGCTTTTGCTTCATTCTGTTTCGCCGCGGGTGGAAGCTGGCTGGTGGTGCTGTCTGATTTACTGACTGAGACGTACTGTAAGTTTCAGGATTACATTTAAATCCCGCGGAGGTAAACAACATGACCTTTTCAATGTCAGTAGGAAGAGAAAGTGACACAGTCGAACCAAGGAAAGAACAAGGGCAAAATCAGACTCCGCATCCCTGTCCAAACCTGGATCTGAACTCCGCTCACTGAAGAACCATCTCCAAAAAAGTTACCAGCGAAGACAAGTTAACCATAATTGAGTCGGTAACATGGGATCTCGGTAGCTACAGTCTTGTCCGCCTTCGTAGAGGCCGGAGTATGTGAATGGAGATCTCCATTTTTGTACCCAGTGACTGGGTGCCTCAACTTACAGACATATTTGCGTAGAGGCATCGATGTCTCCCCCTCAGAACACCGTGGGCGCACACGACAGGAGAGGAAAGAGTATGTTACGCGTGTGAATCCAAGAGTCAGGACAGTTTACTTACGGCTTTTGGCTTATATGGGGGCTGAATCTCTTTGCGTTCAAGTTTCTCCCAATCAATATACCGGAAAAACGCATGCTCCTTGATGTCGCGTTCACCTTCGGGTCCACAACCCAGACGTTTGCCTGGGTGTTTGGTCATCAGCTTCAAGAGAAGAGAAAGGCTGAATTTAATGAACTTCGGGGGAGGACACATGAACCGCACAGAAATAATGACTCCGTGGATTAGGGAAGAAAGCTCAATGAGGTTCTCCATTTTTATTTCTTGCTTTCCATCCCAGACGATAATTTCCCAGTGAGGTCTTTATGATCGGAGGACCCGACAACAGTGCCCAAGATCGCTTATGGTTAATCGAACCTGAGCCTCAATGTGGACCTGAACTTCAAGTGAGAAATGTCACCTGATGCATTCTGATTGAAGAATGAGTTTTATGCAATTACTGGTGCATTTAATGAGAACAGTTTCAGTATCTTCAAATTCCCCACCTCCCACCCCAAGAAAGCTGGAGTGTGACCAAGGCAAAGGCCACATTCATTCTGATAATATTTGCATTTCTCAGTAAAGCACTTGTGAAAATGACAAAACAGAAGAAAAAATATTAGTCAAATGGACCCAAGTTTCAAGTAATTACTTTCTGAAAGCTCATTAAATAGTCAAAACCTAGCCCAGCTCATTTTGCTTGTATCACACATTACACTAAACTCCGCTGAGGTTTCTTTGGTGTTCCATTTAAATTACTTAATTATCAAAACCCTCCATCTTTGGGTCTCTGAGCCAGTGCTAAATAACAAGATGAATAGATGCTCCAAGATGAAACCAGACAGGCTTCCTCTTGTAAATGAATCCAAAACAGCATGAAAATCTCTCTGATCTCAAGACTTGAGCAAATGCACCAAGAGCAAAGACGGAGGGGTTGGTGATTATAAAAATGAAAAATCAAAACCCAAAACCAACAAGAAGGCCTCAAAGAGGAAAAACAAGCAGTTGGAACATACGAGACCAAGAAGCTTCTCAGAGTTGACCAGACGTCATGATGCCAGCGTCCTTAGATCGTGCCCAGGATCTGAGGATCATGGCAAGGAGATGAACCCAGCAATGTACACCTACCCTGTTGGACATCAGCTTAGCCTGATTCCTGCTTCCAGATAACCTGTCATCAGAAACTATCCCCCTACACACACACACACACACACACACACACACACACACACACACACACACACACATTCTCCCTATATGCTTTACCTGCCAGGGGAAACATCATGGGGCACTTCTATTCTGAGCTGCTACTTGATCTGCACACAGGATCTTACCCAATTCTCACAATAACCCGATGAGGTGGGTATATTATTTTTCCCATTCCAGTGACAAGGCAATTGACATTTAGAGAAGTGAAGCAACTAGCAAGGATGCAGAGATGAGGAGTGGCAGAGCGGGGACTCGATCTCACCTCTACCTACTCCCGAACTGGGGCTTCTAATGAGAGAGCTCTTTGTAGGTGGGTTCCCCAGGGACATTTGTGGCTTGGCTCGGTCAGGAAGGGTTTATGGAGGGCAAGCACATTGGGCCAAGCCCTGACATTTGTATAGGATTAGGATAGGAGCAAAAAAGGGCTACGAGGTTTTGGTGAGCACTACTGCTAATGTTATCAATGATGCCTTCTGTGTATGGAGTACTTCCTATGCACCTGCGCTCTGTGCTCAAGGCTTCCCTGGCATTACTCTTTCATCTTTATTTTCACTTTGCAACTATTATCCTCCTTTTCCAGATAAGAAACTGGGTCCAGAGAAGGAGTCATTTGCCCAGAGGCACACAGCCAAGTAGCAGAGCTGTGCTTTGAACCAATCTGCCCGACCCAGGGCTCTTGCTCCTCCGTGCTATGCGGTCGGCTTGTTTTCATGCTGACGTGTGGCCCAACGGGGGCCTCTGTCTGCCTGAAGTTTGTTCAAAGTGGGAGTGGCAATCTGAGCAAACTTATACTCATTTTTTTTTTTCTGGTAGAAAATACTTCTGTAATGGGATGGATATATAAAGGACTTCTCAGTTGGAATGGCACGGGTTTCAAAAGCCTAGCTCAATTTCCACGTAAAGACGAGGATGCCAAGCGAAGAAAAGCCACTGCAGAATCATCCCACGCTACTAATGCAAGTCTCTGCCCAGCCACTGCACTCTGAGCTGATGTGCCTGAAGCCATGCAGACAGCTGGATTTAATCACTGTTCTGATCTCTGATCACCTCCCAGGCGCATCCCCTGGGGCCCACTATTTGGGGGGGGGGAAGCATTTGCTGTTGGCTGGAGCATCCTCCCTTCTTTGGAGCCTCAGCCTTGAAGAAAGAGCCCACACTGGACTCAGCCCACTCAACTCAGAAAGGTCCTCGAACCCAGTGGTAAGAAAGTCACCCCAGTTAATCCTGAAGGTTATGGGTCTTAAATTAATAGAAATCTGCTCTACCAGGGAAACCGCTAATTGGAGCTGAAGCTGAATGCAACTGACCTGGAAAATCCTCTCTCCTCCATGACCCACTTAGAACCCCCAGCTGTCCAGGCAGGGCACAGTGGTGAAGGGGAAGGTCTTGAGCATGTATTAATTAAGCACCTACTATGCGCCTATACCACACAAGGAGCTTTCTGTTACCTGATCGAATGCTCTCAAAAACCTCTGTTCAATGAGTATTATTATTCCACTTTTAGACATAAAGAGACAGAAGCCCAGAGGTGCAAAGGAGGACCACACACCAAGGAAGTGGAAGTGTTGAGATGTGCAAAGGGTTTCGATCTCCCAAATCCTCCACTTGAAAAATTCCTATCACAGTGTATGCATCCTTCAATGCCAAGAGAGGCCTGGCAGATAACAGTGGTGCATAGCGTTAGTAATAATAATCATAATAATGGTTCATGGGTTTTGGATCAGAACACCAGGCTCTGTTGTAAGGGATTCACTTGTATTGACTCATTCAATCATTAAAAAATCCTGTATGGAGTACCATCATTAGCCTCAATCCACAGACAAGGTTGAGGGACTTACCCACAGTCATAGGGCTAATAATGCCGGGACCAGGATCTGAACCCAGATGGAACTGGGTGCAGTGGAGATTTCTGCATATTGAAAGGGCACGTCCTATCTAAAGGGGACATGGGCTTCCCACCCAGCTGGCTGATGCTTTCTTTATAGGAATGGACACACCAGCATGGTGAGATCAGATTTTTCAAGAGAAACTGGACAGTTAATGTTTATGGGAAATGCCTCGCTCTTGAAACGTTGGCAATTATTAAACAAACTAAACGTTCAGTATATGACCACCCACTCTTCCTCCCCCATGAGACTATGTCTACCGGGGTCTGCACTGGCCTTACACTGTGCTAGGTGATTCACCACGAGTGAGGATCTAAGTGGTGTCGTCAAGGTGCTCTAGATGGAGAGGTTGGCCCAGCTATTTCAAACTGCTGGAGTTTTCCAGCATTTCTGTACGCAGGCCAGCTCACGGGGCATCTGACTGAGGCCAGGAAGAATAGGGCTGGATCGGGCGGTGGGAAACCTGCAAACACCCCGAGGATCTAGGACCAGCAGCCCTGGTTTCTTCACACACACAGGTAGGGGAAACCACTGGGAAGGCATGTCCATGTCCTAACTAACCTTGAAAATGCACCTGTCCCCCCAGACTGGTGGGATAGTGAATACTTTATAAAGGCAGCCTCCGTGGGCCATATTCTCTGGGGCTCTCCTAGCATTTCTTGCACACCTCCATCAGAGTTGAAATGCTACCACATTTGGATAATGGGTTTGAAGGCAGTGGTTTTCAAGCCGCATGGGGACTTTTGCAAAATACCGATGTCCAGACTACCTTTAGGGTAAGCCTGAGGTTCTGTACAATCTGAACAAGTACTTCAGGTCATCGTGATAGCACCAAAGGTGAAGACAGCTGATCTCCAGGGACTCACCCAGGTCACTGTGAGCCCATTCTGTCCTAATGCTAGATGCGTAATAACAAAGCAATCCTCACCAGCAAACATGGGCCCTGCCTTCTCTTCATCCACTGCCATGTACAAAATGTGCATGCTTTTCAGCCAGTTGGGGGGGTGTGGGGGGAGACTAGGGGTTCTGAAGACACTACATTTGGGTCAGCTTATCCAGAGAATCCCTTAGACTCAGTCTTTCGTGATATTTTCTTAGGACAGAAGTTACACGCTGTTCGTATTAGCCACACACATAAGCAGCAGAGCAGGGGAAGGCTGTAGGAACGGTGCTGCAGGCCCCTTGCACCCCTTCCCATGGGTTCCAGCTCTTTGGCAAGGTCTCTGCGTTTCCTATCTCATTCATCCAATATGCATTCCCCTGTGTGGGCTAGCTCCTGGAGCCCAGTCAGCAGCAAGATACGGCTGCTGGCAGACCTCTCCGGTACTTTTGTGCAGATTGGAAAAAAGCTCCCTTTGCAGGTCCACACCAGGCTCACAGGCCAGCAAGTGGGGAGACGGGCAGAGTTCAGTCTCCATCCCCCGCCCCCTCCCCTCCCCCCCCGGGTAAGGCGTCCTTGTGCAGGGCACACCGTGCGTTCTCCACATGTGGTGGTCCCGGCCGCAAGCTTTCAGGGGCTCACTCACCCCTTTGCAGATGGCCACGGCTTCCTTGGACATGGCCTTGGGGTAAGCCACATTGTGTTCCATGATGGACTGGAAGAGCTCATCTTCATCCTCCCCTTCAAAGGGTGCCTGTGGGACGGAGGAGAGTGCAGGGAGACAGGGGTACTGACTGACCGTCCCCAGCTGCCCCAAACCACTGGGCCCTTTTCCCTGGGGTCCACAGTGAGGCCACACTCAGGAGCTTCCAGGAAGAAGACGAGGAAAAACATTCAAAAGGACTTGGGTAACCCCAAGGCCACGGAAGTCACAGGGGTTCCGATGTAGGAGCTGGTATCCAGCTGACACCCTCCTTCTAGAGAAACCACGCAGATGGGGGTAGGGGAGGACTTTGCTTACAGATGCCTTAAAATCCCATTACCTGCCCAGCCAACATTTCATACAGCAGGACGCCGAAGGCCCACCAATCCACAGACTTCCCATAGGGCTGATAAGCAATGATCTGGAAAACAGAAGGCATTCCATCAGGGAGGCAGGTAGGTTCTTGCCATGGCTGGAGACTGAATACTCACTCCTTCTAGGTAAGAGCAGAGCATCCTGGGGCTGGGAGGAGGACGGAGAGTTCTTCCTTTGCCTGTCATCTGCTGCCCAATTAAATCAGCTGTTATAGTCCCAGATGTGGGCCACTGTCAAAAAGAGTGATGAACGGGCCTAGCGCCCACTTATCCAACCTTAGGAAGATGGGTATCCTTTACCGGGGGCTGGGGGGGAGCCATCTATGGGTGCCGCTCTGCCTTTTCCAAAGCACTTAGCACAGTATGTTCTTGTTAATTTTAATGCAGTGAGTGTGGTGGCATCTTTAAGAAGGAAAAACCATCTTTGTTTCTCGTGATGAAAGTAATAACATTTACACAACAATGGGAATGCACTTCACACTAGAACTGTACACTTAGAGATGGCTACGATGATAAATCTCATTCTTATTCTTTTTACCACAATTAAAAAATTTTAAGTTAAAAAGTTGTAATAGCACTCTTACTATTTTCCTATGTATTTAAAAATATCAATAAGCAATTAAATAAATAAATAAATAAATAAACAAGCTAAGAGAACACAACTAACATCACCCATAAATTTTCATTAAGAGAAAAATTATGATAGTGCTTTGGTCTATTTTCTCTTAGACTCTTTTTTATTAACATCTAGTAAAGTGTGCATCTGCACGTGTTTTACATGAACACAAACACATTAATATGTGGAATTTTAATGAAGTATTTTATTCACTTAACATTTCCATGCAATAGTTGTGCATCGACGTAATCTGTTTTGACTTCTGCCCGGCATTCCATTGGATGGATATACTGAAATCTACTTGGCCAATTCCCAACTGATCAGGTTTCTTCTGATGCTACAATACAGATTCTTGCAACTGGCTATCTGGACATTTGTCTAATTATTTCCTTCAGATAAATTCTTAGAAATAGCATTGGTGGATCAAATGGTATATGTAGTTTTTAAAAATTATTTTATTTATTTATTTCTCATCATGAGAGGTTTTCTTCTCTTTGAGCCCCATCACCTGTTTCACCCCTTCCCCCCCCCAACCTCCCCCATCTGTTTGTTCTCTATAATTAAGAGTCTGTTTCTTGGTTTGTCATTCTTTTTTCCCTTTGCTCCTTTGTTTTCTTTCTTAAATTCCACATACGAGTGAGATCATATGGTATTTGTCTTTCTCTGACTTGCTTCACTTAGCATTATACTCGCTAGCTCCATCCACGTTGTTGCAAAGGGCAAGATTTCATTCTGTTTAATTGGTGAATAATATTCCAGAGAGAGAGAGAATGCGAGAGTGCACATCTTATCTATTCGTCTATTGATGGACACTTGGGCTACTTCCTTAGTCTGCTATTTTAAATAATGTTGCAATAAACATAAAAGTGCACGCATCCCTTTGAATTATTATTTTTGTATTTTTGGGGTAAATATCCATTAGTGCAATTACTGCATCATAGGGTAGCTCTATTTTTAATTTTTTGGTGAACCTCCACACTGTTTTCCACAGTGGCTGCACCAGCTCGCATTCCCACCAACAGGGGAAGAGTGTTCCCCTTTCTCCACATCCTCGCCAACACCTGTTGCTTCTTGTGCCATTGATTTTGGCCATTCTGACAGGTGGGAGGTGATATCTCATCGTGGTTTTGATTTGCATTTCCCTGATGTTGAGTGCTGTTGAGCATCTTTTCATGTGTCTGTTGGCCATCTGGATGTCTTCTTTGGAAAAGAACATGTCTGTTCATGTCTTCTGCAATGGTATATATAGTTTTAAGGTTTTTGATACTTATTTTTTTTAAAGATTTTATTTATTTATTTGAGAGAGAGAGAGAGAATGAGAGATAGCACGAGAGGGAAGAGGGTCAGAGGGAGAAGCAGACTCCCCGCTGAGCAGGGAGCCCGATGTGGGACTCGATCCCGGGACTCCAGGATCATGACCTGAGCCGAAGGCAGTCGCTTAACCAACTGAGCCACCCAGGCGCCCGGTTTTTGATACTTATTACCAAATTTTGATACTTATTACCAAATTGCCAGAGCATGGCAGTCTACAATAACCATGTAACCATCCTTCTTTCCAACTGAAGGCGTGTAAAACTAACGGTATCAAAGGGTTTAAAAGGTGATTTAGCAAAGCTTCAGGGCAGAGGCGAGATGGTCAGACTGTCCAGACTTTGAATCCTGACTGCTATTTCTGAGCTGTGTGACCCTGCAGGGGGTTACTTAACTTCTTGATGTCTTGGTTTCTTCCCCTACAAAAGGAATTTTATAATATCCATGTCATAGGGTTTTGCGAGGTTGGAAGAGAAATGTGTGCTTCTCACACATTATGGTCTCCAAATGTTAGCTGTAACTGGAAGGTTTTCTCATTCAGTGGTTGTTTTATTCAATGAATGTGGCCAAGCAAACTTGGCTATAAAAGGAATGTCCGTTTGTTGAACTTCATCTGCCACCCCTGCTTCCATCCTAACCTCAGAAACACCCTCTGAGAATTAAATTCTAAGAGACCGAAGGCATGCTTCCTGTGAGACACTTATTGAAAGTGTTTTCACACTTTTAAAGTACTTCATGTCTTATTTGATCCTCGTGACAACCTAACAAGTTAATCCTTTTGCAAAGGAAAATAGAGCCTGGGAGGCAAAAGAAATTGCCAGGAGGTGAGGTGGTTAGTTAATGGCAAAGCCAGGGCGGACACTGGACCCCCGCTTATTCCTTCCCTCAGGGGGCTGGAGGAGGGAGCGACTTCCCCACGAACACGACTCCAGGTGTCTGGTGCATCGAAACCACTGGGAATTCTGGAAAATCACAGATATGCGGTCCTCCCTGCAGAGATTCGGATTCAGTTGATTCAGGCTAACACCTGGGCAGCCTACATTTTAAAAGCACCCCAGGTGACAGTGAAGTGCAGCGAGTTTGGAACCACAGATTACTGAACTCCTGGCAGATCAAGGAATTGTCTGTTGCCCTAACTACTTAACAAAATGATAAACCGAGGTAGCACACGTAGGGAAAACACCACTGCATTCTAATACAGGTGTCCCCTGCTTTTCAAAAGTTTGCGTTTCGCCACTTCACTTTTACGAAAGACCTACATTAGGACCTGTTTTCATTAACCGAAGGAAATCCGGAGAGGACTTTTGCTTTTATGGTAAAGGCAAAGAGCAAAAATAAAGTTCAGGCAGCCATAGCTTTGAATGGTGTGAGCACCTGTGCTTGATTTCGGTTTATTTTATGCATCCGCTAGCCAGATGTGTCCTGAGGTATCAGAAAAGCGGAGAGGTCATTTTTTGGGTCTGAGAACGCTAAAAATTTTTTTCCCATGTAAAACTGCTATTGCTATAAAACTGCTTCTTCACTTCATACCATTTTGGCTTACATAAGGTTTCACAGGAATGCTCTACTGTCAATAGTAGGGGAAATCTAGAAAGGATTTTTTAAAAAGATCACTTTTAATTATTCGAGTAGTACACAAATATGTTTACCTTGTGAAAAATGTACACAGTATACAGACTGAGCTAAATTTCTCTTTACCATGCTCTTATCCTCAGAGGTAACCAATGTTATAAAATCAGTCTGGAACCTTCCAGATTTTCTATGCTTCTACATGTATTTCTACATACTCATAGGAAACATACAGCAGTGTTCTGTGTATTGTTGTTGTTTTCCGTATATGGTATCATATTGTATTTACCATTCTGTACCTTGATTACCCCCCCGCAGTTTTATTGAGAAATAATTGACATACATCACTATGCAAGTTTAAGGCACATAGCATGATGGTATGATTTAAATATATCGTGAAAATGATTAAAATAAGTTCAACTAACATCTACTTTCTCATATAGATACAATAAAAAGAAAAGAAAGAAAAAAAGGAAAAAAGTTTTCTGCCTTATCATGAGAACTCTTAGTATTTATTCTTTCTTATATATCATAAATATTCTTTCAGTCTTCCCTCCTCCTCCATAAATATTCTTCCCTCCTTCCCTCCCTAAATATTCTTTCCCTTCCCTCCCATGCCTTTGCTACAGGCATTACGTTGTACAATACATCCTTAATACTTACTTATCTTATAACTAGACGTTTGTACCTTTTGACCACCCTCTCACAATTCCCCTCCCCATCTTCCACCTCTGGGAACCATAAGTCTGATCTCTTTTTCTGTGAGTTTGGTTTTCTTCTTTCTTTTTTCAAGATCCCACATAGAAGCGAGATCATACAGTATTTGCCTTTCTCTCTCTGACTTATTTCACTTAGCATAATGCCTTCAAGGTCCATCTATATTTTCTATGGCTGAAAAATAGTTCATTGTGTATATAAACCACAACTTCTTTATCCATTCATCCACCGATGGACACTTAGGTTGTTTTCATGTCTTGTAAATAATGCTGCAATAAACATGGGAGTGCAGATATCTTTTTGAATTAGTATGTGTGTTTTTTTCCCCCTTTGGATATATTCCCAGAAGTGGAATTGCTGGGTCATATGGTAGCTCTATTTTGAAATTTTTTGAAGATCCTCCACACTGTTTTCGAGAGCGGCTGCACCAATTTACGATCCCATCAACAGTTGTAAGGGTTCCTTTTTCTCCATATCCTCGCCAACACTTGTTGTCTCTTGTCTTTTTGATAATGGCCATCCTAACAGGTGTGAGGGGATAATCCCATTGTGATTTTAATTTGCATTTCCCTAATGATGAGTGATGCTGAGCATTTTTTTTCATGTACCTATTATTGGGCTTTTGTATGGTTTTGAGGTGTTTTTTTTTTTTGAGAAATGTCTATTTGGGTCCTTTGTCCATTTCTTAATTGACTTATTTGTTTTATTTTGTTTTGTTTGCTGTCGAGTTGTATGAGTTCTTTATATATTTTGGATATTAACCCCTCATCAGATATATGGTTTGCAAATACTTTTCCCATCCCATAGGTTCTCTTCTTACTTTGTTGGTGATTTCTTTTGCTGTGCAGAAGGTTTTTAGTTTGATGTGGTCACACTTGTTTTGATTTTGTTGCTTGTGCTTTAGGTGTCGTAACCTAAAAATCATGACCAAGACCCATATTGAGGAGCTTTGCTCTATGTTTTCATCTAGGAGTTTTATGGTTTCAGGTCTTACATTTAAGTCATTAATCCATTTTGAGTTAATTGTTGTGAGTGGTGTAAGATATGGTCCAGTCCGTCTCATTCTTTTACATATGAACACCCAATTATCTCAGCACCATTTATTAAAGAGACTGTCTTCTCCATTGAGTATTCTTGGCTTCCTTGTCAAACATTAGTTGACCGTATATGCTTAGGTTTTGTTCTGGGCTCTCGATTCTGTTCCGTTCGTCTACTTAGCATCTGTTTTTAGGCCAGTACCATAATGTTTTGATGACTATAGCTTTATAGTATAACTTCAAATCAATAGTATAATGCCTCCTGCTTTGTTCTTTCTTATCATTTCTTTCTTTTCTTTTTTAGAGAGCAAGATAGAGATAGAGAGGAGGAAGGAGGGGGAGAAAGGGAGAGAGAGAATCTTAAGCAGGCTCTGCACCCAGTGTGGAGCCTGACACAGGGTACAATCTCATGACCCTGAGATCATGACCTGAGCCAAAATCAAGAGTCTGACATTTAACTGACTGAGCCACCCAGGCACCCCATTCTTTCTCAAATCTTTGGCTATTCAGGGTCTTCTGTCGTTCCACATAAACTTGGGCAGTGTTTCTTATACTTCTGTCAAAAATGCAGTTGAAATCTTGAATCTATTGACGGCTTTTGGTAGTATCAACATTTGACAATATTAATTCTTCTAATTCATGAACATGGGATGTCTTTCCATTTATTGGTATCTTCTTCAATTTCTTTCAGCAGTATCTCGTAGTTTTCAGAGTAGAAATATTTCACCTCCTTAGTTAAATTTATTCCTAAGTATTTTATTGTTTTCGATGCTATCATAAATGGGATCCATTTCTTTATTTCATTTTCAGAAAATTTGTTGTTAGTATATAGAAATGCTACTGATATGTATACACTAATTATATACTAATTATTAATTGATAATTATATACTAATATTGTATCTTGTAACTTTACTGAATTCATTGATTAGATCTAACGGTTTTGGTTGAGTCTTTAGGATCTTCTATATATAAAATCATGTCATATGCAAATAGAGACCATTTTTACTTCTTCCTTTCCAATTATGATACTTTTGTTTTCTTGCCTGATTGCTCTAGCTAGGACTTCTAGTACTATGTTGCATAGGAGTCATGAGAATGGACACCTTTGTCTTATCCCTGCTTTTTCTGTATCTATTGAAATGATGTGATTCTTTTATTCTATTAGTGACATATTACAATGACTGATTTGCATATGTTGAGTCATCCTTGCATCCCAGGAATAAATCCCACTTGATCATGGTGAATGATCCTTTTAATGTGCTCCTGAATTCAGTCTACTAGTATTTTATTGAGAATTGTAGCTACATCCATCAGGGATATGGTCCTGTGGTTTTCTTTTCTAGTAGTGTCTTTTTCTATTTTTGGTATTAGAATAATGCTGGCCTTGTAAAAATAGTTTGGGAGTCTTCCCTCTGATTTTTCAGAAAAAACTGAGAAAGACTGGTATTAATTTTTTTTTTTTTTAATGCTTGGCAAAATTCTCCAGTGAAGCCATCTAGTCCTGGGCTTTTCTTCATTGGGAGATTTTCGATTACTTATTCAATTTCCTTACTGGGAATTGGTCAGATTTTCTATTTCTTCCTGATTCAGTCTTATTAAGTTGTATGTTTCTAAAAAATTTTCCATTTCTTCTAGGTTGTCCAGCTTGTTGGCATATAGCTGTTCACTGTACCTTGATTTTTTTTCTCTTAATGTTTCCAAGATCTTTCCATATCTACATATATAACTCAGTCTTTTGAATTGAACTGATGTGGTATTTCATACTATAAATAATTCAGTCTATTGTCCATTCCTTGATTGACAGACATTGTTCAAGTTAGTACATACAGATGTACTCTGATCTTTATAAGAGCTGCATGGTACTTCTTAATGTGAATGTAGCATATTTTAGCAAACCATTCTTTTACTGATAGTCATTGAGGTTGCTTCCTATTTAAAAACAGCACTGCAACGAAGAAAGGACTTCAACCACGTAACATTTCAGCTGTGTGTGTGTGTGTGTGTGTGTGTGTGTGTTGCAAACTAAGTTCCTAGAAGAACTGTTTTGGTAAAAGAGTATGCAGGTTTTAAATTTTGTGGCAAATTATTTGGTTACATGGGGGCCTCTCATCACCATTGTCCCAAATAAGTGACTGACAGTCAAGAAAAGAATTATAGAATACCCATTTCCAAGACTCTGTGCCACATCCTCAGTTCCTTTCCTTAAAAATCTAGTAACAGATTGCAAAATGCCACTTCTCTAAGCACCAATTCAGAGAAAAAGGAAGGCTATCATCTGGCACAAATTCTGTACCATGACATGTTGGGGAAATCCATTCTGCAATTGACCGTTTCCTTTGGGAAGGGAGGGGGAGGCACTAGATTTAAATCTTTTCCCTTTCATTTATATCTTACTCACAAAAAGAAAAATTCTAAGTCTTTCAGGATTTAGTATCAGCACATAGATCCTGTGTCATATGTCAGCTCAGGGAAGCCCTCTCTGTTTCTCTTTCTCTCCTAACAAACATTTCAATGTCATAATGAGGCAGTATCATATGGCCATGAGCCATAGCAGCTTGAAGAATTCTCCTGATGTGTGGATGGTTCTTTTTGAGTTTTATTTAAATTTTCCCCCAAACCTTGATGTATTTTGGGCCTGAGCTTCTGGATGTGTGCAAAGTTAATTTGCATGTGTGGTCTCCAAGGAACGATTTAGAGTATAAGAGAAGGACTAGCCTGAGTTTTGCTTGCCAAGTACCCCCCTGGACCTTTCCTAGCTCTGACATGGTCATCTAGGGCACAGTGGAGGGATCAATGCAACATGGACATGTGTTAGGGGTCCCCATCAGCTCTCACCTCAGGGGCGATGTAGTCTGGAGTGCCACAGAATGTCTTGGTGGTCACCCCATCCCAGATATTTTCCTTACACATGCCAAAATCAGCAATCTTGATGTGGCCCTCTGAATCCAGCATCACATTGTCAAGTTTGAGGTCACTGCAGCAGACATAAAAATGTAAGGATTTAACAAATGCTATTTATTTCCAGTCAACCAACAGCCACTCATGACGTGCAAAACATTGTGCTAGGTGTTGGGGAAGCACAGAGGTGAGTATAAGCCAGCCCTTGCCCTCTAATAGTTTATAATCTGACCGATAAAGAGGGGTCCACAAACTTGTCTGTTTTTCTTTTTCTACAAATCCAACTGTGCCAAGCATCTCACGAGGACACAATGAGACAGCAGCTCTGAGAAGAGAGAGCCACAGGAAGCTAAATAAAGAGCAGAGCATCCATAGAGGCTTCTTGTATCCAGGAGCATTTCAAGAGTCAGTCCTTGTACTTTAAGGACCCCTTACATTTCATAGTAAGATACATTTTTCACAAAATTATTATTTTTGAAAATATCTCTGAAGATCATGGAGAAAAAAAAAAAAACTGATGGAAAGAATCTTATTTAGCTTCAAGTGCTCCAAGCTCTCCTAGGCTGATTCCTAGGACATGACCCCAAGAACTCCCATTGATTCTTTCACTCAAAAGAAAATGGGTTACACACCTACTACATGACAGGCACTATGCTTGGAGCTAGGTATATACTGGGAACAAGGTAAACAAACATTTTGCTCTTGTTCAGATTAAATTCCAGTATAGGGAAAAAGACAATTAACAAGTGTCCAAATCTATAATTATATGATTATTAATTATAATTATTATATATTACCAAATTATTACATTATTATTAATTCTAGGATTACCATAGATTTTGATGGACAGTGTGAAGAAAATGGAGAGGATGATGAATCAGTAATTGGGGAAGGTTTCTATAAACAGGATGCCAGAAAGGTGTCACCTCCATGGAGGTAACACTTGAACCTTAACCTAAAGGACATGTGCTATACTTGCATTCTTTTATTTCATCCATGTTGATGAGGAGAGCTTGATTATTTTTGGAAATGCTTGCACATTCCCAGCGTATTGGTTACTCCAATATCATCACACTTTCTTCTTCCCTAAACATCTACTCCAATGTCAACACTTGGTATTTTAGTATCAATGAGTAGTGATGATCTATTGGCCAGTCTTCCTCAATCTCAGTAGAGTCCAATTTCCTGAGAGGTAATGGGGTCTACTATTCAATTCAGATCTCTATCTTAAATCACCTTCATTGGGTGGAGGACATCTGCGGTACCTGCCTATTTTAGCATCTTGTGATGACAGCATCCCAATATTCCTTTGAAGGACTATCCTTCCCTGATTCTCAAACCATGTAAGATTGGTGGTGCTGATCCCAGCTCCCGGCTCCACAAGCAGTCATGTGGGCCTATCCTGGCCACTGGAAACACCTCATTCTGTTGGTCACAGTGACTGCTCCAGGAATGGCCATGTGATCCAATATGAGTTAATCAAAGCCATTGAGCATCAGCTCTGGCACAATTGTCAGGAAAGAGATGAGCTCTTTTTACACTGGGATTGCTCAGGTGGTAGAATGTAAGTCTAGAAGTGCCAGGGGTCACCAGATGGAGAAGAAAGCTAGTAGCGATAAAGCAGAAACTGTGAACACTCATAACATCATTTGAGCCCCTGGACCCATCCTGGTGTAAGGTCACATGTGCCCCCCTGGACTTTTCAGTTATGTTAGCTATAAAATATCTTTTTTAACAAGTTAGTTTGAATTGAGTTGCTGTTTTCACCTTTGACTACAATACAACTTCGACTAGAATACAACCTGAAAAAAACATACTGGCATCTCCTATCTATGCATGTGAGGTCCGTTCATCCAAGGGGAGGCCCACTTGCACCCCATTTGCCAACAGCAACATACAATGATCTTTGGTTCTGTCCATGTACCACCCATATCCAGCCTTCATCCTACAAGCCACAGTCGTCTCTGAATGCCAGCTTAGAACTTACACTGGACTTTGTAGCAACTTGCTTCACCTAAACCTGCCAGGTCTACATGTGGTTTGAGTAACAGAGACCCATGACATTCCCCTCAGCTTGACCACAGGCCCCCAAACAGGCAGCTGGGTCAACTAGGAAAGTGATAACAACTTCATGTGTTATAGGAAAGGAGCTTGAGGGGGTGCCTGGGTGACTCAGTTGGTTAAGCATCTGACTCATGATTCCGGCTTAGGTCATGGTCTCAGGGTCATGAGATCAAGCCCTGCGTCGGGCTCTGTGCTCAGCACGGAGCCTGCTTGAGATTCTCTCTCCCTCTTCCTCTGCCCCTCCCCCTACTCTCTAAATAAATAAATAAATAAATAAATAAATAAATAAATACAATCTTAAAAAAAAAAAGGAGCTTCAGGTGCCAAGAGCCAGCAGGTTATGCAGCTGGGGGACAACCCAGTCATATTCACTGCCACATATGATTTTTTTTAAAGATTTTTTATTTATTTATTTGAGAGAGAGAGAATGAGAGATAGAGAGCACGAGAGGGAAGAGGGTCAGAGGGAGAAGCAGACTCCCTGCTGAGCAGGGAGCCCGATGTGGGACTCGATCCCAGGACTCCAGGATCATGACCTGAGCCGAAGGCAGTCGCTTAACCAACTGAGCCACCCAGGCGCCCCCACATATGATTTTTTTTAAAGATTTTATTTATTTATATGACAGAGAGAGACACAGCGAGAGAGGGAACACAAGCAGGGGGAGAGGGAGAGGGAGAAGCAGGCTTCCTACCGACCAGGGAGCCCGATGCGGGGCTCGAACCCAGGACCCTGGGATCATGACCTGAGCCGAAGGCAGATGCTTAATGACTGAGCCACCCAGGCACCCCTGCCACATATGATTTTTGATAGTCTACTACATTCTTTAGTTCAATGTAATAATCCGTCATTTCTTCTTCAAAAGGGGGCTGGAGCAATTGTTTTCATTTTCAGAAATCCATCAAGGGCAAAACCATCACACATTCTAGGGATGGTGATCCATAAATAAGACACGAAGCTTGGAAGGATCTTTGTCTCCCCGCACCCAACATCTCCAGTTATGCTCCTCAGAGAGGGCAAGTCTAACCTAATTCCTCATCCTCTTTACTTAAGAATTATCCAATTAACTAGAGATGTAAATGAAAGAGGGAGAGATTTGTAACATTTTAAAAGACCTTACCACATGAAGGTCACCTCAATGAAGTTATAAAACCACACATCTTCTGCCATGTAATTTTTTCTTTACTGGTTTTCAATGATTTGATTATCAATTTCAAAAACTCTGTCTCAATCAAGGTTTTTGATTGTGAGCAACAAAAATCAACTCTGACCATGTCAACCTGGAAAGGGATTGTTAAAAAGGTACTGGGAGTTCATAGAATCTCCTAGGAGGCTGGAGAACCAGATGTAGAAGCAAGGCAGCTAGGAACAATGCTTAATTGCACGCAGAGCTGGGCCAGTGAAGATGTCACAGATGCCACCACTGGGTACAGACATCTTGTTCCATGAAGCGTAATGCTGGACTCTGGACACTGTTGCTAAGAAGTGCTTCCCCCTCATGCCTCCGGAAAATAGATGTAGCTGATTACTATGGCCACTCTCAATTCTACAGTCTCTGCCTTTCTTGGTCACTACCTTCTGATTCATCGTGTTGTGTGAGTGTGACAAGTGTCAGAGCCTGGGTTGTGTGTCTGCCCTTGCTGCAGGGAGGCCGTGAGAGTATCTGGAATTTTCTATCTGTAGAACAGGAGATGGACTTTGTTCCTACACACGAATGAAAGGGATTCAGATGCTGAATGCCTTAAAGGTGTGATAAGTGTCCCCTAAGAAGTATGAATAGTTGAGAAAGAATGGGAAAATGTGTTAGTAGAGAGAGCTTTGAGTTAGGCAAAGTCTTAGCACCGAAATCTAATCTTTGTATTTTATGACCGGAATGGCAAAGGTCCTGGATCCCAGACCCCAATCCATGACCCTACTAGATTGGAAACCCAACCCTGAATCCCAACCCAATTGACAAGAAACTCTATTTCCTCTCCCGGCTCCTCCCCTGGGGCTGGAGTTTCTTCCAATAAACTTGCAGTCCCACATTTAATTTTCTCAGCAAACCTCAGTGGCGAGTTCTATTCTAGCCAAGACCCATCCTGTCCAAGAGTTAAGTTCTAATGTCAGCACATAAGGTGAAAATCATGTGGAGGGAATGATCACCCATGATCCCCGTTCTTCAGTTAAGCCCCTGCTGAAGTTACTGGCTTGAATTAGGGGTCATGTCATATGGAAGATAATGTGTACCCGTCAACACCAGAGTTCCATTTGGCACAAGGTGCTCCCACTTATGGCAGGCAAAGAGGAAATGGAATCAGAGGCTTCCTAGGTGCATCTCTTGCACACGGTGCTACAGGTTCATTGAGGGCAAGCATAGCCAGAATGAGCATGCGATTTACAGTTTGAATTCTTCTTTTTATCTCTCTTTTTATTTCTTCACTGAGCTCGCCCATGTGCCAGGTGAAACCATTCCTCTTCCTGACCTTCATTCATCCCTCCACTCTCAGGAATAATGAAGCAGAGTAGGGACTCTACGTACTCAGGACGATTGTCCCCTCCTCCACTAGATTCATATCAGCACTTCAAGGAGTTCAGAAAAAGCCCCTGGACTCTGCAGACTTCTGGCAAGGTGCCCACCTTCCATCTCTCCAATCCATCAGTGCCCACAGCCTCCCCTCCACTATCTGCCTTGAGACCACCACAGCTCATCTTTTTACACTTTTTGGCCCCACGTCCTTCAGTTGCAGCAAGACGCCAATCCCATGCTCTCCACAGAGTGACAGGCACCCCCGTCACCACCAGGCCCACGCCAGTCCCCTCCCCAGCTCGTCTTTTCTCCCTAGCACTTATCGCTCCTTGACAGGCTCTATCTCTGTGATTTACGTATCCGTCTCCCAGCACTACAACTGAAGTTCTCCAAAAGCAGGAGGTTTTGCCTTTTTTCTTCCCTGTTGCATCTGCACCGTCGAGAAGAGTGCCTAGCACATAGTAGGCTTTCAATAAATGTCCATCAGCTAAATGAATGGCATGGAATTTTATGGCTCTTCACGATCTTTTAGATAGACCTTCACCCATGCCAAGTGCCCTTTGGAAGCCCCAGGCCCGTCAGCCTCTCTTGCATAACCAACCAGCCCAAGCCCGCACTGCCTCTGCCATTGCATCCATGTGGTGTAAGGAGAATCATACATCCCGGACTCACAGTCAAATAGCAGCCTCAGGCTCAGTAGTCTGCCTTGCGTGAAATATAAAACGGTATGACTCATACAGCTAGGATCATACACTTGCTCCTCCAAAAACAGGCAAATGCCAAGTCCTGAACTTAATCCTGTCTTTCAGGGCAAGCATTTCAGAGATTAATTTCTAAACTGTAGTTACGTAGCAAAAAAAAAAAAACTCATAATAACGACCCATCATATCCCTGCCAGCCGAGATTCTCCGCTTGCTCCCCAGATTTGGGGTCCCGAGGCAAGAGAAGGAAGTCCTGGGCCCCCACTGGCGAGCTTGCCCTCCTTCAAGCAAATGGTCTCCTGTTTGAGGCTCAGAACCATCACTGGTGGCAGGGTCCATAGTGATCTTCCGTCAGCATCTAAAGCTGCCCAAACTTTGCCAGGGCAGTGGGCGATGCGAACACATGCCCAAGTCAGGACTGGAGGATTCCTCCCCCACCAGGGATTCTAATTTTAAAAGCAGTTAAAGAAAGAGGCAGGGAGGGGAGGAGCTGAGGGAGTGGAGGGGATGGAAGGGGTTGCAGTGCTCACTTACCGGTAAATGATGCCCTTGCTCTGTAAGAAGAACAGACCGATGGCAATTTCTGCAGCGTAAAATCTGAAATCAGAAAAAAAAAAAAAAAAAAGCAATGGAGAGATTCAAGGACACCGTATGCCTGGCAAACCCTCAGAATTCAATACAATATTAAATGAGGCATGGGGCATTCACATCCCACCATGGATGGTCAACCACACATCTCGTAACACAAAGTGTGGGGGTGTGGACAAATGAACAGGGTTTAGAGAGCCATGAGGCTGCCTTCAGGACAAATCAGGGTGGGCAGAGGTTCAGCAGCTGATCGGTGGGGAGGAGGCCATGGGGGAGGACGGACTGGCTGGAGAATGAGTTTCAGTGTAAGGCAAGTTTAAGATCTGAATACTAACAGCTCATCTGTTGAAGGCTTACTGTCTACATACCATCATTGTAGGTCATTATCTGATTAAATTCTAATAACCATCCTCTGAGGTAGGTCCTACTAGTACCTCCCTCTTCCTTAAATGAGGAATTGAGGGTCAGTGACAGAAAAGGACTTGGCCAAGTTATATCACTAAGGAATGGCACGGCATCTGCCCAATGTGTAAGCTCTTAACGGAGGCCCAGAAGGAAAGAGATTTTGAGAGAATCAGAAAGTCCCAGTTATACCACAGGGTTAGGCGGGGCTTTAGGGAACTCTATTAAGTGTCCTGACAATTTGTTTTGTGTGATAATGGGATGAGGGTCTGTGGTCAATTAGGTGTTAGAAGTAAAAGAAGCGCCAAGCCCATCGTCCCCTTAGAATCGTGGCAAGACCTAGGCATGGCGCATGGAGCTATCTAGAATGCAAACCCTACCAGAACACAGTGCTCACCACCTCGGCAGGTGGGAGGGGAGAGGGCAAAGCTTAGCTGAACAGGAGTCAGCAAGCCTCTGGAGTGACTGGATGCGCCCTAGGTGAGTCCTGGGGAGCTTTCTAGAGGGACAATGAGATCTTAGCCAGCTGCTCAGGAGAGGTTATCTCTGCTAATCCTATGACTTGCTGTTCCTGTTCACCAGCAGGGGAAGAATATGATGAGATCCGTGTTCCCAAAAGAAAAGACTGGCTGCCTTGGGGACTGACGGGGACAGAATGGACTCAGCAGGGGACACACATTTCCAAAAACCCAATCGTCTCCCCACCCAGGAGCCTCGGGGCACAGCCACAAAGCAACTTGATTGGTCATCCCCCCAGGAAGGAGGGCATACAAGAGAGTGAGCGATGGAGAGCAGAGCACAAGAGCAAAAATCTGGGTCAGAATGTGGATCTGTCTCACACTAGCTCTGTGATCTTGAGCAAGTTTCTACAAACTCTCTGGGCCTGGCACACAGTAAGCTCTCAAGAAAGACTGGCAAATGAATAAACAAAAGCTACCATGACATCCCCTAAGGACTCTACAGGACCTTCCTTTGGAGTCAAGGGCAAAAATCAGGGCTAGAGAAATAGCTGTGGTTTTCAAGCTTCAAGTTCTGGTGTCAAGGAAAGAAAGAAGTATCCCATATCAAGCAGAATACCTTTTTCCCTGGCCATACATTTCTCAAGAAGAAGCAGCTCAAGATGTTAAGAATCCCTATTCAGCTGAAAACCCAAGGTAACTAATAGCCCACCCAAGTATCCCAAGGGAAAAAGCACAGCACAAGTTTGTACTTACACAGCATGAGGCTCCTTAAACCGGCCAACTTGTTGGATGTGGTACATGAGATCGCCCCCGTTCACGTACTCCATCACAAAGTACAGGCGGTCCTAGAAGAGAGCAAACTGCAACATCAATATCCTGTATGTCTCAGGTTCTACATGGAGAGCAGGGAATAGCTGGGATTTAGGATCAAAACCCCCAGGACTCGATGACAGGCCCCCATGTGCCAGGCCCATTATTCCCCCAAGTGTAATATTTGTACCACTGGAAGTATGCAACTGGGCATTAGGTGGTCCATGAATTTTTAAAAATTAATAGCTGTCAAGTTATATTTGTTTGTACTGGAAAATGTAATTAGCACATTAATATTGTGACTTCATGAATATTATTGTTTAGGATAAAGCTAATTGTAATAAAGAATAGAAAATAAATACATAGATCATATTACAGATAATAGGTAGCTGTGGTAATCAGCCTCCATGATGGCCCCCCGTGATTTTCGCCCACTGGTATTTACATCCTTGCATAGTAGCCTCTTCCCACAAGGAATAGGACTGACTTGTGTAACAAGTAGAGTATTGTATGAGTAAAGTAGTGTGTGATTTCCATGACTAGGTCACAAAAGATATTGTGGCTTCCATTTTGCTCTCTCTTGGATCACTTGTTTGGGGGAAGCCAGCCGCCAGGTCATGGGAATGCTCAAGCAGCATCTCAGGAAGGTACGTCTGGCAAAGAACCAAGGCCTCCTGCCAACAGCCAAAACCAGCTCCCCAGCCATGAGAGGGAGCCACCTGGGAAACAGACCCTCCAGCCCCAGTCAAGCCTTCTGATGACTGTAGCCCAGACAACAGCTTAATGACAACTTTCAGGTGGGACCCCCAAGCTAGAACCACCCAGGTTAGCCACTCTTTTGAGTTCCTGACCCACAGAAACTGTGAGATAATAAATGTTTATCATGGTTTTAAGCCCTTGAGGTTTGAGATATTGTAGTAGATATCTAACATCGTGACTATGGGGGAAAAATGAATTATTAGAATTTGAGAAATAGTGGCCTCAGAGAACATATCCAGAAGGAAAAGAATTTGGGCCAGAAAAAGGAATCTATACCCCATTCAGGGAATTCTTTAAACATGTCTTTCAAGGGAGATGAGAACTCTCTTAGAGTCAGGGGCTGTGTTCCGCTCAGCCGTGTAAGCCTTGTTCCTGTCCCATGACTAGGTCACAGTAAGTGTCAAGAGAATGGTACCAAACAGATTTTATTTGGAACCCAGCTTTGCTTCCTGATTTGGAAAGGTTATTAAACACCTGGGTCTCTTCATCTGTGACATGGAGATTAATAATAATAATAATAATAATAATAATAATAATAATAACTGAACCACAGTGTTGTTGCTGGGACTCAGTGAGACAGATGAGTGTTATGGTCCTTGGGGGGACACCTCCATGAGATTTGCCTCTTCTCCTTCCATCAAGGGGTGCCTGCTAAATGAACAAATGACTTCACCTCTTCTTAGAGAGGTCCCCTTGGGTCAAGTCACACGATCAACTTAATAAAAAAATCAAAGAGAACGGAATGGAAATGATCAGAGCACCCTGCACAGAGTACCCCTAGATGTTATGTTTTGGTTATATTTATGTGTGTCTTTGGTTAAATTTGTAGGTTGGTACGGCTGGGTTGCAATGTAAAAGGAGGTTTGCTGCCCAGAGTCACAAAGCTGTCCTGAGGGACTGTGAGACCAGGAACCCAGAGAGAATGAAGATGACATGCGTGAAGTGCTCTAACATGCAGCCGGCCCTCCAAAATCTTAACAAAATCTTTCTTACAGTGCACAGAACTTTATCTTCTATGTAACAGTCATAGATGCACGTGTCCAACATGTATTGTCTAATAATTAGAATGATACCTCTTATGAAATAGAGCTACCATCTTGTGAGCATTTATCATGGGACTGAGCCAACCACTTCAAATATTTTACCCACTTCTCTTTCTAAACTACCCAACAGGACAGTATTACCCTGCTCCCCCTTTTAAAGATGTGAAAGTTAAAGCCCAGAAAAGGGTAAGTAACTTGCTGAGGGTCACTCAGCTGTTCAGCGGCAGAGCTGGGATTTGAACCCAGGCAGTTCCGTTCCAGGCTCCTCCTGTGTAAGGTTCAGAGCTAGACATTGTACGGATGTGTGGGTGTGTCCTCCTCTCTAAGAGCTTCCAGTCCAGGAGCGGAGAGAAGAGATAGAGAGCTGAGCTCCAGCCACACATCAAGACAGAAACTGGCAGGTCATAGGCAAGAAGCACAGGTTAATCGATTATTTCTGACAAGTCAAGAGACTTTCTCCGACCAGTACTACTTGACCCCTACAACATCCTTAGTGAGAGGCAGAGACTGAGGTAGAATTATCACTTCTGTTTCTCAGTGTCCAAGGCCTATGAGATTTGCAAAAAAAAAAAAAGGTCACATCCAAGTTAGTGGAGACAGCCAGAACTGCCAACACCCAGCCCCTGGTTCTTTGGGGTTTTTTGATAGAAAACAAGCCTTAAAAATAGCATCTGTCTTTGCTGCACATTGAAGGGAACCAAAACACTTGCTTTTAAAAATTATTTTTAAAACTAGCAGATGGCATTGGCCACAGAGAGAAAAGCAAGTGAGGGAGAGATTTCACTTGCTTTCTGCTTGGAAGAACTCAGCTTGCCCCCCAAACTCATTAGTTAGAATCCCAACATCAGGGAGAGCCCCACTGCAGACCACGTTTTGTGGTCTGTTTCTACCACGAACCGTATGCAGGGAAATCCTGCGATCCATCATCTTTGAACCGTACTGAGTCTGGCTTTGGCACACCGGTACTTCACATATTACACACTGTGGCTGGCATCCGGTTCGCCTTCCACTTTCCGAACACACACTTAATGATGTTCCCTCTTAGGCGAGGCATTATTCTTCTTCCAAAAATGCCACTGTGAATCAATCCATGGTGCCCGATGTTAAGAACTCCCCCGTTGAGTGGGGAGACCAGATAAGTTTCCAAACAGCAACGTTTCCCAAAGTGTGGTGGGAGAGAACTCCAGGTGGGCTATGGACGCATATGGCTTTAGTTCGTTCATTTTGTGTTTATTTTAATGTATATTTTGGACACCATAACTCCCCCTTGACGTCCCTGATTTTATGGCTCTGACTGCTGAGAGGGAGAGAGGAGTGTATGGAGTTACAAAGGAGAAGAGAGCAAGGCAGGGGTGGACCAGATTATGATACATGGCATAAGGCCATCACCCTTCAAACTTTGGTTTTCTCACGCACCAGCCTCTAGATTTTACCGTTTGTCTGCCTCATCTACTAAAATGTACTTATTTTAAAATATTTCCATGAACTCACTTTTTCACTGGAACACATTGTTGAAAAATTTTAAAACGTCATACTAAAGTCATAAATGGAATTTGTCTCTGCAAAAAAATAAATGCATATCTGGAGTCTATCAACTTTATGCTATATCCAGCCTGGCTTTGTTACATCGATCCCTCAACTGACTTATGCTTAAAACCAATGCATTTTGTCCACGGACCACTAAGTTCATCTCCCACTCCAAAGTAAAGAACATCAAAATTTGAAAAACACTGCTGGGGGCAATCTAGAGCCAATCTTGAGCAATGTGAATTTATTTTATTTTATTTTAAGATTTTATTTATTTATTTGGCAGAGAGAGCGAGAGCGAGCACAAGCAGGGGGAGAGGCAGAGTGAAAGGGAGAAGCAGGCTCCCCGCTGAGGAAGGAGCCTGATCTGGGGCTCAATCCCAGGGCCCTGGGATCATGACCTGAGCTGAAGGCAGACACTTAACCGACTGAACCACCCAGGCACCCCGGCAAAGTGAACTTTAGAATTTTCCTTGGGCATTTATTTTTGCAAGTCATGTATTAGGTGTTAAAGGGATAAAAATGATGAATAAGATACAGACCTTGCCCTCAGAGAATTCAGAGTCTTTGTGAAAACAAATACGCAACTAACTTGAGCCATAATCTAAAATAAAATGTGATAAGAGAAAGTACGTGACAGGCACAAAGAGGGAGCTCTGGGGGCGTCAGCTAACTAAATGGACCTCACCCACTGCCTTGGATGCTTACATAATTATCCCCCCCCACCGTAGGGCCCTGAAATTTGACTCCCCACTCTTATTTTTTAAAATTTATTTTATTTATATTTACAATTATTATTATTACTTTAGTAATCTCTACACCCAACATGGGGCTCGAACTTACAACCCCGAGATCAAGAGTGGCGTGCTCTTCTGACTGAACCAGCCAGGCACCCCCATGTTCCCCACTCTTCCGATAAAATTATTTCAAGGCCTCAAAAGATCTTTCTTCCGGTCACATGCAGTAGTTTTCGATTAGGACCTATTCGCTGTACCCTACTACATGAAAATCAGAAAGTATGTATTGAGTATCGAGAATCTCCCACTTGTTCAATTTTCCAAAGAGGACATGCACAGCTCAAAGCTTCAACCCTCATCTCTCTGGGCTGATGAAAATCTTGACTTATATTTCCATCTTCTTTCTTTCTCCCGAGCTCCAGTCAGCTCCAGCTGGCTACAGGACGTCTCTATGTGGGTGTCCCACTGTCAACTCCAATTAAAAGCTCAGAAAGGCAAGCTCACCATCCTTCTCTTCAACCTAGCCAGTCTGCGCAACTTCCAAAGTGTTTTTCCCAAATTGTCATTGTTATTGGTGTTATTCCTCATTACCCGCTGCCCTTGTTCCCTTGGCACGAAACGACTTCCGTCAATTTTAAATCTCCTTTCCCCTTTATCTCCCGTATTCAATCAGTAATTAAATCAAACTAAATGTCTGTCTGTCACACCACATCATGAAAAATGGTTGGACAGGATGTGTCACATCTGGAGCGTGAGTGTAAGGGTCATTTGATTTAAAACACTGACTGCAAGGCACGTGCCGTATTTATCTGGGGGGCCCGGGGTAGGGCAGAGAATTCAAAGAAATCATCATTCTTTCTCCAAGACAGCTGAAAGTGGGATATCCATGTGACCGCCTGGGGGGATGCCTGCCACTTTTAATAAGACACCACAGACAGAGAAGATCAACAATGTGGGCAACTCTAACTG